GTATTTATATGTCTTTAGATACTTTGTCACTATAATGTGGAGTATCTTGCAAAAAAGTGAAGACTGACACTGAAAGGTTACCTAATCATGCGTTTAGCTACTATTGGGATGTTTGTCCTTTACTGGTGTCTCTTTATCAACTTTAGTCTTAAGCTAACCGCTAAGAGGAAGCTACTGTTCCATGTTAGCTGTGATTTATTTCTCAAACATAGCAGCATGGGTCATAACCACTCCGGTCAATTCACAAAACACATTTCTTCGAGGCGTGCTGGGAATAAAAAGTTATTTTTCTGGCCTAAGTGAGCAGAGCTCCATGCTTCATTTAGCCTACTAGCTGTATTTATGCAGGAAATTACACTCACTGCTTCATAGAACTAATTATATGGACAGAACTTCTGGATAATTATAAGCTCTGTCTTCATAAGTGTTTATACGGCGCACTGCTCTGCTAAAGACTTAATGTCTCTATGGACCCCGAGTGGCTCTAATTGAATAACACCAATTTGATATTCAGTGTTCTCCCAGCAGTTTTTTATTTTTTTCTTTTAAAAGCTTTACAACAGTATGAAAAACATTTTAAAGCAATAATGCCCTTCCATAGTGGCGAACTCATACATGGAGGAATTTGAAAGCAGAGCTCTAGACATGGGAACAGAACCCAGGCACTGGTTCAGGTCCATGGGTCAAAATAAAGACCAAGGATATCACCGCGTTCACAGACCGCATCAGCACAGCGGACAGAAACATCAAGGTCACCTGGGAAGATGAGAAAGATATGAAAGAGGATAAGGGCCACTGAAAAAATAAAAAAAGTTCACTGATCTTTAAATTTTATTTCAGTATAATATGAGAACAAAGTCAGAATTCTGACTTTAATCTTAAAATTCTGACTGAATTCTGACAGCTAACAAACATGTTAGCATCCAGCCGTAGCCATGTCAGTTTTAGAGACTAGCTTGCTTGTTTTAATCACCTTCTGCTCCTCCATTAATCAAACAGAATCAGCAGGGACCCTCAGGGATGGAAAAAGCGCCTAATTCCATCATTTTCCACCAATGTGTTCCTGTTCCTCCCAAATAACTGAAGCTGAGTGCTCCACATCTCTGCCTTCATGGTGCCCATCTACATTAAGATCCACAATTCTGAGATTAAAGTCAGAATTCTGAGATTAAAGTCCGAATTCTCAGATTAAAGTCCGAATTCTCAGATTAAAGTCAGAATTCTGAGATTAAAGTCCGAATTCTCAGATTAAAGTCCGAATTCTCAGATTAAAGTCAGAATTCTGAGATTAAAGTCCGAATTCTCAGATTAAAGTCCGAATTCTCAGATTAAAGTCAGAATTCTGAGATTAAAGT